TTTTAGACTAAAAAATTGAGGAAAAAAATATGGATGTTTGGGTTAATTTTTTGACTTTTTATGAAAAAATATGTATTAAAAATTGTATAAATTAGTGTATAGGAAAAAATTAGTATTAGGAGTTGTGCAACCATAATTTTTGACTTTTGGTATAGAGTGATAACTTTTTAACTTTTTGACAATTTTGTCAAACTTGGCCGTAGTCCACCATTAATTAGTAATTTCCTTGCAAATACCCTTTTGGTTCAAGCATCTTTTTCTTTGCCAACCTATTTATTTCAAATGCAACTTTTACAACCAATTTTGCAATGGTTGTTCTACCCTCCATGTATTAATTAATTACTTGTTAAGTTTATTTATTTATTGATTGATATATGATTTTACAATTAAATCCAACACACAAATAAATGTTGAATAATATACAAATATATAAAAAAATTTAAAAGAAATATTATGACACATCAGGTACTGCATTGCAAGTAAACCCTTTCACACTTGAAGTCTCTACCTAGATTTACACGGCATCATTCCAACTAGTAGTCCTAATAAGGCCTAGTTTGAGAAGATTAAATAAGTGCACTTTTTGACTTTTTTTGTATTATGTGTAGAAAAAGTAGAGAGGAGATGTTGATTGATGTGACCCAAAAAAGATAATAATTTGTATATATAAATTTAACAATAGTACTACAAAATCACAAAATAATATTAATAATAATAATAAATTATTAAAATAAACATTGCATTCTGGATGCTTTTCCAATAGAGATTATTTATTTGTATTGTGTTTAGGCAGTATCCTAATCGAGAATGGTTCTCCTCCATATTACAAATTTTCATATATCTTCATATTTTATTTCATGGGTTTTATCTCAAATTTGTAACGATAATTTAAACTGTTTATCTCGTAGGCCTAGTAATAAAAATGAGTTGGATAAAAAATTAAATCCATCAAATATTAGTAAATACATGAACAAATAATATTCTATTTGTTTAAATGGACGGCAATCATAAGTTTAAACTTAAATGGAAAATTATAATATATACGCACCCTTAAAAAGGGTGTATCATATGCAACTCCTAATTATACAATTTTATTTTTTAGTTATGATCAATTTTGTTTTTTAGTTATGACATTAGTTTAGTTATTATGTCTTATGTTGTGTTTAGTTATATATTTTTTAATTATGGCTCAGAAAGTATAAAGTTATACAAATTTTTTTTTTTATAGTTATAAGGTGCATATAGTATATATCACTTAAAAAGGTGTTTACCATAGTGTTTCCCAACCTAAATAATTCATTTTATAAAATAAAATATGATATATTCAACTATGGGGGTGTTTGAGAAGGAAAAAAATAGCCTAGTTTAGGTTAAAAATCACAAAAAGATAAAATAGGCTAAAATAGCTAATAAGACAAAATATCACATCAAACCCATAATCATTTCACTTTTTTTCTCACAAACATCACATCCAACCACAAAAAAATCCAATCATCTTCCCAAACACAAAAATTTTAGCCTACTAAAATAGCCAAAAACTAAAATAGCCTACTAAAATAGCCACTTCCCAAACGAGGCCTATTTATCAATATCCGATGAAACTAATTTTTTACACAGACGATCTTAACTGCAAAGTTTACGAGATCATTAATTTATTTGTTTTGAGTTTAGCATGAGGTGTACCCCAAAAAAAAAAGAAAAATGTGAAGAATAGTGATAGGCACCATAAAATATTTTTAATTTTTTTTTATTGTTAACTTAAAACACATAAAAAAGAAAAAAAAGTGGAAAACGAAAATGGAAATTTGAAAAGGATTGGGTTGGGGATATGGAAAGGGGCAATTTGGAGGAAAACAGTAGAAGAGAGGGGTGGAGTGGAGCTATTAGATGCCACGTAGCAATCAAACAGTGCGTGGAGGAAAAGTTACCGAAAGTAGAGGGAAAAAAGTGGCAGAAAGAGGGAGCTTTTAATATTACTTTCGGTTAATTATCACCACCATTTTTTTTTAAATTTTAGAAAAATTATAAAAATAAATTTAAGTTTGACCTTAATAATAAATCAATTCTAATGTTTTAATTATTTTAATTTAAACACTAAATTTTTTAAAAAATAATATTGATGTTGTTTGGTAAGTTGCTGATGTATTAGCTTTTTTTGGTTACGATAATTAAGAAAGACCAAATAAATTAAAACAATTAATAAGATAAAATGACACATCTAATTTATATTTATTTTATTTTTTCTCTTACAATTATCAAATTAATGAGAATCAACTATCTTTTCAAATATAATTATTTTAATCAGACTAAAATAATTAAAAAGTCAAATAACTAATTTTCAGCAATTAATTCGAAGAATATTCAATTTAGACTATTTAAGTATTTTTTTTTCCTTCCCACTGGCAACAATTTCCCACCTTTACCGTCGTTCATCACCACCATTCCTTTTCCTTAGCCATTACCACTATTCCATCCACAGCTACTTTTGCTTTTTTCCATCTCACTATCACCCATATAATTCCTTCTCTACTCCATAACTCCAACTCTACTAACAAAAATAGTTAAATTATATAAATTGTCTCTATTTCATTAGTTAACTAACATATGGTCAGAATTAATATCATTTTAAAAGTTCAGAATTTAAATTAAAATTATTAAAACATAGGATTTGTTATGTTATTGGGGTCAAACTCTGAGATTTTTTTTATTGTTGTAATTTTTTATTTTTTATATCATCTTTTTATTTTTAATTATGACAGTTGATTCTTTATTTTTTTTTATGTTCTAAATAAGTGCACTTTTTGACTTTTTATGAAATATGGTTAGATTTGAAGTGATGTGGTAGATACGTGATGTGAGTTAAATAAGATGATATGACTTAAATAGGATAGTGACTTTTTAATTTTTTTGTATTATGCCAAACTTAGCCCAAATTACAATATTATCTTTTCTTTTTTACTTTAAAAAATAAAATTTTTAAAAAGTTAACGTGTTCAATAAATGCTGAAAAAAATTAATTTTTATTATTGACAAAGTTGAGTGAGTCAGTTAAAAAAAAAATTTGTTTTTTGTGTTATGCCAAACTTAGCCCAAATTACAATATTATCTTTTCTTTTTTACTTTAAAAAATAAAATTTTAAAAAAGTTAACGTGTTCAATAAATGCTGAAAAAAATTAATTTTTATTATTGACAAAGTTGAGTGAGTCAGTTTAAAAAAAATTTGTTTGTCAATTATTACATTTTTAGCAAAAAATCAAACAATTCAAAAACTGAAAAAAAAAACGATATACTATTAATTGAATTCCATGCATTTTCTTTTTATTAAAATCAATATATTTTTAATTTTTTAATTCATTTTTAAGATATTTTTCCTCTGATTTTAAGACTGGACAATGTCACAAATCACTTGTTAATATTTTTCAGAAGTGAAAAAATTAAAATAAATTTTAGTAGGAATACAAGGTAGTCAGATGTTTGGAAAGTTTTGATTTAGATTAAAATACTTCATAAGACAAAATTAATTAAAATAATTAATAATATAAAATATTATATTTAAATTATAATTATTTTATTTTTTCTTTCACAACCATCAAATCAATTATATAAAAAAAATTCAATTATCATTTTATGCACAACTTTTTTAACAAAGTTAAAATAATTAAAAAATCAATTAAGGCTAAGGCCTCGTTTGGGAACAGGTTAATTTAGTAACTTTTTGGCTATTTGGCTAAAAAGGTAGGTAAAAAAAACTTGTATGTTTGGGATGACTTTTTGGCTAATTACGAAAAGATGTGCAAAAAGTAGAGAGAAAAGAGAATCTTTGAATTTTTGGTATGGGTTGTTGGCTTTTTGGCTAATTTAGTAACTTTTTGACTAATTGGCTAAAATAGCCTCTTGCCAAACGAGGCCTAAGTTTGGCATCATTCGAAAAAGTCAAAAAGTCACTATCCTATTTAAGTCGCATCATCTTATTTAAGTCACATAATCTTTCTACCACATCACTTCAAACCTAACTCATATTTCATAAAAATTCAAAAGTGCACTTATTTAGAACATCCCAAACAATCCCTAAAATAGGCACTGTTTGGCGTCTTGTAACTCACTTTTTTTTTTTATTTATCTTTTTAAAATTACAATCAGCTTGTTTGGTTTCGTTTTTCAGAAAACAGTTTTTAGAAAATTCTACCTTCTTATTTTTCGTATTTTTTTGTTTTTTATGAAATTTTTTAATATTTTAAGTATTTTTTTTAATTTTTAGATATACCTAACATAAATATACCTAAAAAGTAAAAAATTTGTGAAAAAAATCTTTTAAAAATTCACTAAATATCAAAAATATAAAAAATACGAGAATTCAGTACATTTTTTGTATTTTTATATATTTATTAATTTTTTAAAATATTTTTTCATAATTTTTTTATTTTTTAGATACATCTAAATAAGATGCATCTAAAAAACTAAAAAAATATTTAAAAATTTAAAAATATTCACTAAAAACAAAAAAATACGAAAAACCAAAAACTCAATTTTTAAAAAGGTTAATCTAGAAAACTTTTTTTCATAGATTTTTTATAAAGAGTAAAAAAATATTTATTTATACCATTTTAAACAACCTCTAAGACCTCGTTTGTGAACATGTTTTTTTAGTAATTTTTTAATTTTTTGGCTAAAATGTGATATAAAAAAATGGTATATTTGAGCTGATTTTTGCAAAAAAATAAAGAGAAAATTAAATCTTTAAATTTTTAGTACGAATTGTTGATTTTTAATTTTTTTAATAATTTTTTTGATTTTTTTTTGACTAAATTAGTCGCTACCCAAACGAGGCTAGCATTAATGTAATTAATCCTATTTATCTCTTCCCAAACGAGGCTAACATTAATGTAATTAATCCTATTTATCTAGAAGCCAGTCCTTTGACGCCACCTACAGTCCACGTGTCTTCACCATAGACGCCTCGTCTTTTTTTTTATTTTTTTATTTTGAAGAAGCTGAAAAGAAGGGAATAGAATTCAAACGCGCAGAGAAAGAAACCATCAGAAAACTCTAGAGAGAGACAGAGAGTAAAGCCTAGAGATAGAGTGAAGGTTTTGCCAAGTCACGATGAAAAAATTTATTGGGTTTTGGCGTGAGTGAAAAAGTTTCCCTAGGCATAGAGGATTGATCGATGCCATTGTGTTTGTTTCCCAGGAAAATTTTCGGTTGGTTTTAGTTGGGTGGGTGGGAAAAAGGGAAAGATGTACGCAGGGTCCATGAGAAAGTCCTTCAAGGATTCTCTCAAAGTTCTTGAAGCCGATATTCAGCACGCCAATACCCTGTTAGTAAAATTCTTTTATCTCTCTCTCTCTCTCTCTCTCTCTCTCTATATATATATATATATATGTATATGTATGTTGTTGTGTTTGTTTTTTTTGAAGATTTTGGTTGGTGGGTGTTGTGTATTTGTTTGAATTTTTATGCTATTGGGTTCGAATTATGGCTGCAAAGTTGAAAGGTTGCACTTTTGTTGCCGTTTTGGATTTTTTATAATTTCATTTACCTCCAAGTGTTCTGGGTTTTTAGGGTTTTTATTTCTGCTATGCATTCTGTCTCTACTTTTTGATTTTTAAATTTTGGCAATTCTTTGTTTTGAGGTAATTTACTCTTAGTTATCAGTCTGAATTTTGTAATTTTAGCTCGCTTCAAGTTTCTGGGTTTCGATTGTTTTGTTTTTTTGCTCCGAGACTCTGTTATCATGATCAAATTTGTGGGATTTGCTCTGTTTGTCATGGTTTAAGTGAAATGTGTTATTTTGTATTGATTTATTGGTTGCATCTATGGAGACTTGTTTTAATTTCAAGTTTAATTTCCGAAATATCAAGTAATTGTTCTTGGCTAATCAGTTGTTTTGTGTGTATATTTTAATTGAAATCCTCATTAGAATGTCCTTACATGTTTTTATATATGTTGAAAATTTTAAAGATATTGATGGAAAAATTTGCGGTGTTTGTTTTGTTCCAAATCATTGGTCATGATAGTTTTTGGTCATTTGAAGTCGTATGGCCAGGGCAATGCAATCCGAAAATGTTCATTCTTTTTTTTTTTTGGGCACTGATTTGTATAAGATGGGGATTATGTTGTTGTGTCTCAGCAATTCAGCAACATTTCCCTTAGCCTCCTCATTTCAAGTGGAAATTGGCTGCATTCAGTGAAGTACTAAGCATAAAAGTTGCATGTTTTGCTTTTAACCTGTTTCTGTTTTTCAATTTTTTTGGGTTGTATGGAAAGCAGAAAGGTGGTTACAGAGAGGGGCATGGCCGCAGCTGCAGTGATAATTTGACTAAGGCCTAGTTTGGGAAGACTAAATAAGTGCACTTTTTGAATTTTTATGAAATATGGGTTGGGTTTGGGTTGGGTTTGAAGTGATGTATTAGAGAGGTGATGTGACTTAAATAAGATGATGCGACTTAAATAGGATAGTAACTTTTTGACTTTTTGTCTTTTTTCAATCTTCCCAAACTAGGCCTAAATAACAATTGGCCGCTGAGGGTCAGATAACTTTTACATTGTTAGCCAATGCATTGTCATGTTTTGTAATCATCGCTTTTCTGCATATTGCTAGGGTCTCAAGTCTCCCAATGTCTCTATTTATGTAGTTAATTTTGGATTCACAATCGACTTGCTAAGCTAATTCTATGGCATTGTTTGGTGCAGCTTATGGGGCTGCTTATAGTTTTTTATTTGTATTTTTTTAATTTCTTATTTTTGGGAATTTGTGTTATAGTGATTGGTGCAACTTCTGCTTAGAGCTTGTAAGGCAAAAATAGCTTTAAGTTGAAGAAAAAGATGATTATTAGGAAGCTGGGAAATGGTGGTTTTAGCTTTTGCTGTATGATTATTAACCTTTAGATTGCAAGCAGCTCACATTTCCATGATTCTAACTGAATTCTTATTTTTTAATGTGAACTGCAGAGCGTCTGATTTTTCCAGGGAGTATGATGGTGCCTGTCTTCAAATGAGAATGTCCTACAGTCCGGCTGCACACCTGTTCCTTTTCCTAGTACAGTGGACAGACTGTCACCTTGCTGGTGCCCTTGGACTGCTGAGAATTCTAATTTACAAGGTTGAGTCTAATATTTGTGTGTGTATCTTTTTGTTTTGAGTTCTTTGACAACCATGGGCATGGCTGACTCAACCCTTTTGCTTTAGGTTTATGTTGATGGCACCACAACAATGTCTACCCATGAAAGAAAAGCAAGTATAAGAGAATTCTATGGTAAGTGTCTGCATTATATGTTAATTCGGAGCCACAATTTTCGACATTTGTGTCATCCAGTCTTCTGTCTCTTTGTTGATATCTGAATTTTGTTGGCCAGCGGTTATTTATCCCTCTTTAGTGCAACTTCAAAGTGGTGTTACTGATACGGAAGACAAAAAGCAAAAAGCAGTATGCATGGAAAGGTACAGAAGAAGAGATGATGAAGAACACAAGCAGTATTCGGATATAGACATTGAAAGAGATGAAGAATGTGGAATTTGCATGGAAATGAATAGCAAGATTGTCTTGCCCAACTGTAACCATGCCATGTGCTTGAAATGCTACCGCGAGTGGTACTCTCTCTCTCTCTCTCTCTGTACTGCCTTTGAGCCCTTGGAAATTTAAATTTGAAAGTAGCCCAGCTGCTTTATGCGAGTGTTGGTCCAATATTTCTTTCCAAATCAGTCCCATAAGTTCGTCTCTTCTTTTTTCTCTCTTTAGTAGTGATCAATAGCTAACTTTATTCAAAGTTTTAAACTCTTTGCCTTGGCCTTATTACTCCTCTCTGATGAAACCATGTCTGTACCTCTCCCATCAAACAAAAATTCTCTTTTAAAATAAACTCACAGACACTCTCTTTCTGCTTTTATCATCTTTGCTTGCAACTGTTTCCATAACTCCTTTAAAAATAAAACTTGGGATGGTTGTCCGTAATCAAGACAACCCTCTCTGTCTTTCTTTTCTATCCTTTTTTTTATAAAAAAAAATTGATTAAATATTATCCTTCATGTATTCTAATTTGATTTTCTCAAATGCTGCCACTTGGCCAAATTCTGAAGAAACAAAGAGTGCTACTACTAAATGCAATGACGAAATATACAACGTGGTGAAGACCATGGGATAATGCTGTGCCTCTTTCCAGTCATTAGAAGAGTAGAGTATATTTTTGACTGCAGTGCTGAAATTTTTTCTTATGATATCTTGGCTAAGATGCATTGTCTGCAACCAAATGAATGACCGATCATTATATTAACGGGTACACACAGAACAGGAATACGACTTTTTTAGCTGAACCTGTTTGGAAACAATCTCTTCTAAGACAAAATGATAAAAGGAAGCTACTAGTTCCACATATTTACTCTTCAGTTTGGGGAACTCTTGCACGTGGGAATCTCATAATTTTTGTAAGTTTAGGAAAAGAAACATTTTTCTATTTGACATTTTTTGATGGGTTGAAAAGAATATCTCTCTGTTTGCCGTTATGATGGGTAGAAACCTGAAAATATGCTGGACTTGGAATCTGATGGCTGCATGAAAGAATACCAGGAACTAGACCTTTTTTTGTTATTCTAATTTTTTGGGGGTTGTTCAGTGAGACCATGAGATATTTTACTGAAGATTCTCGGAGTTTAGGGGAAAGACCTGGAAGAGATTTGTTGTTGGTGACAAGTATTTGAGTTTAAGCACAGTTAAAATGGCAAGATCGAATTTCAGAGTTATGTGTTTGTATTTGTTAATTTTGCAACTGCTGTGTCTCATGGATATAGTTTGCATTGTTGTAATTTGCAGCTTACTTGTTGCAAGTTATGAAAAGTTTATAATTTTCTTTTGTTTATGCTACTTTCAATATTAAATTTGTGATACACAAGTGTTTAGGCAATAAACATGTTATTTTTTGGCATAGAGGGTTGGTGAGTGGACATTTGTGCGTGCTAGTTTGGGTTTTGGTATCAAGTTCACCGACTGTTGCCTTGCCTGGCGTCTGGAACCTCAAACGTAAACCATCTTTGATCCCCCAACTTATTTTTTTATAAAGTTAAATGTCAAATTATCTGCCTTGTGAAACTTAGGGTTTACCTCACTAGGTAAAGGGTTCCCTTTTCCCATTCATTACTCCACTATCTTGCTTTTTGCCCAATCAATGTCTGCTTCACTTTGATGGTTAGATTCTCTCTAAAGTGGTAGATAACACTTTAGCCTACTCAATTCTTCTCCAAATTTGTATCCTTGTTTTTTGTTTTTTTTTGGGGTCCAATTTTTGTTGAATCATATTCAGCCTAATTGAAAAGAGAATAATATCAGGTGTTGCAGGAAGAGGCTTTAAATTTACCTGAAATTTCTTGTAGAAAAGTTTTACATTTATTGAAAGTTATGCATTGTCAAATTCCAATTATTTTGCGGAATAATTGTATGAAAAGCCATGAAACAAGGTAACAAGGTCCAGTTGTGTGGTGGGTTGCAATGGCTTGATATTTTCTCATACGTAAAGAGGAATTTATCTCATTGGGTGTTGGGATTTTAGGAAGATGTGAGCTTTTTGAGAAGGATTGAGAACAAGGAAAGTAATATGGCTCTTTCCATATGCGCTTTTGTTTTGTTAGCCATGGTGTTTAAAGTGAGTTTCTTAAATGGGGATGAGTTGTATCTACCATTTTTTTGTTTAAATGGTTGAAACCTGTTACTTACAGCATTTTCCATTGCTTACATGGAAAAGCTTTGGAGGTTAAAATTCTTGTCTGACAGGAAGTTTTTCAGATATGGGACTTTGTGGGAATGAGGAAATGCTTTGATCATTTCTTGTTCAATCAGTCAAAATTTCTTGCTAAAGATGATTGACATGAATAAGAATACGAATTTGTCATAGATATACCAGTCATTTATAATACTAATTTGTCATCTATGAAGCATGGACACCTCTCTGAGGGCTGCGTATCAATGTCGGACACGGACATGCGTCGGACATGCAGTGGACACGTGTCCGACACACAGCAGAGAGTGTCCGATTTTTTTTTTTGGCAGTCGGACACGTCGTGGACATGATCGGGACACATTCAGGGTCCATTTCATAATTTATAGAACTTTTGTGGGGGTCAATTTGTAAAAAACAAAAACGAAACAATAGCTAACCCTAAATCGAGAGAGAGAACATAAGAGAAAGAGAGAGCAGAGAGAAACCTGGTTGTCAGTGGTCTTTCGTCGCTCGCTTCTGTTGCAGTTATCTATGGTAGACTTCGCTGCTCTTCTTCTTCTTCGATCTTCTTCTTCTTCTCCAATCTTCTCTCTCTCTCTCTCTCTCTGCTCCTTTGATTTGAGCTTTTATTTTGTTTTTTTCTTTTATATGGTCAGTTCGTGTAAATTATCAACTGCCTCTCTCTCTGTCTTCTATTTTGAACTTTTATAATTTTTTCTTTTTTATATTGATGGAATGCAATTTTATGTTATTTGTGTTTTTAAATGTTTATTTTTTATAATTTTAATAGTGTTATTTTGTATTTTTATTAATGATTTTTTTTTATTATAATTTTATGACATATAATAAATAACTTTAATTATGTATATTGAACGTGTCCCCAACGTGTTGTGTCCCCCTTTTTTGAAAATTTGCGTGTCCCCGTGTCCGTGTTGTGTCCGTGTCGTGTCACATATCTGTGTCTGTGCTTCATAGTTTGTCATAGACGTACCTACTTCAGTATTTTTGGAGCATCAAACCAATAACTGCTACGTTACCATTTTCCTCAACCCATGAACTAAAACCTTGTAGGCCTTGCTAAACCTTATCGGAGTGGAGCTTCCCTGTTGGATTTGGTTTATTGTTTTGTTTTGTTATTTTGCCAAGATTATTTCTGCTTAGTGAAATGCAGTTAAGGGTTGAGTTTGATGGTTTCTATCTTGATTGTTGTTTGTTTTAGTTTGGGATGTACAAATTCTAACAAAAAGAAGAAAATACATAAAAACTTACACACACACTCACACTTATAGGAAAGTGGCACCTATCTCAAACTTGTAACAAAAAGAAGAAAAATATAAGAACTTACACACAAACACACACAGTTACAGAAAAGTTGCACCTAGTGTAGCTACTATCAACCTGGGGTTCCATGGTGATGGATTGTGTGTAACCTGATCGTGCATTTTATGTATCTCCTTATATGTTTTCATATCCTTGTTTATTTATCTGTCGATATCTTTCTAAAAAATAATGAGCATAAGTGGTCTTTATTACTAGATTACTTGTCATTGCCTGCAACACACTTGGGTCATGGGCCAAATAGATTAGATTGTTTTTACGCTATGTTCTTAAGAAGTAAAACCTTTAGAATCGTACTTGACTTCCCGGTATTTTTTTTTCTTCAATTTTTCTAAATTTTTGGTTTTTGGGTGCAGACTTCCCAAATCTCAACTTCTTGTTTGCGAGCATAATTATGAAAATCTTTATCTTCATTTCTTCAATGGACAAGACTAAAATTGTGTTGCAACACATTGCAGGCGTACAAGATCTCAGTCATGCCCCTTTTGCCGCGACAGTCTGAAGAGGGTGAACTCTGGTGATCTCTGGGTATTTATGGACGGTAGGGATGTAATTGACATGGCAATGCTAACACGGGAGAATCTTAGACGACTATTCATGTACATAGATAAGTTGCCTCTAGTTGTTCCCGATACACTTTTCGAACCCTACGATTCTCATCTGAGGTAAGCGGTTGGTATCACCATCTGAATCCACCAATGTGGCCTGCATCATATGACTTGTATTTTCTTTCCTTTATTTACATAATGACCAACATTCATTTGGTCAATTTAGGTTAAAAACTGCAGTTGTTTTTCCCAGCCCTTCTGATTAGAACGAACCCGGCCTGAGTTATTGTGGGCAGGGGGTTTGAAGTGGAGGTAGTCTGACTGAGAAAGGGTTCATAAATGTATTTAACCAAATTGTACATATGTATAGCTTGAACTTCGTTTAAAAAAAGCCATGTTGGTTTCAATGAATGTTGTTTCCCACTAGTTTTGGTTGTGTTATGAGATGGGTGTGAGATTTGGACATGCACTACGAGCAATCTGTGCGAAAAACCGCTTCTTTTTTCGGGTTCTGCAACAACTTGGGCAAAATAGGGTTCTACATTGAAACCATGGATTTTTTAGTTTTCATCACTGGAATGGAATGAGATAAGAATCTCTGGAATATACATTACCTGATGATTGACCTTTTGCTGTATGCTGTTGTTTTGTTTTGGATTTGTATGTGAATAACCATCCTATTTAAGATCCTATATTATGTGTTTGATCATCTAATTCCAGTGTTTTTAAACTTAAACTTAGGCACCTTCAGTGATTAATGAGATTAGTGGATCTCACCAAAGATATCCATGTTTTTGGTGGTGGTTCTATGATTCACCTGGGGAAAAATTTTACCCTCAGAAAGTAGTTGTCAATGTGGTTGAAGTTAACGCTTATGTTTTATTTGGTTGATTTAATTGAGATGGAATGGAATAAAACAGTCAATCTTTAGACTTCTTTTTATAAGAATTGATCTTATTTCATCGAGGCTGTTTGGATTATGGATTTACATGGGTATTTGAAAAAAGAAAAAGTATATTAAAAGGGTGTGAAATGTAACTATATTGCATTCATATTTGATGAATTTGTTTTCCCTTTTTTTTAGTGTTTTTTTATCCAAATTCATGAACCAAAGATATCCTTAAAAAAAAATTAATACATGAACTTCTATGAGAGGTTAAAAGACTCATTACTTGTGTACACCTCAAGACATTTGTGGTCATATGTTCTCAATTGTTGACTAGAGAGACCAAGCTCTATGTTCCTCTCCTTGTGTACAACATAAATGTATATGGGCCTCATCGAAAAGCCCAAATCCCACCAAATTACTTGGCCCAAGCCCAAGTATGAGCCTGCCCATACAAAAAGTGTGATGAACATTATGCCTGGTGGGATCCTAAGCCCGACTCATAAGTCTGTGATGCACTTTAAAATTTGTGTTGTTATTTTTTATTATTTTCTCTATGGATTTTTTAATTTAATAAAAAGCTTAAATTATGGCCCAAATAAGCTAAGTCCAACCTTAAGTCCTTATTTTTAAGTTAATGATTAGGGTTTTGGGCTTCAAAAATGTAAGATAGATTGGTCACCAATTAAGGGGATTTGCAAGATTATTTTATTGAGTAGATTTATTTATCTATAAATCTTGTTTCCTTTTTAACTTATCAATATCTTTAAAAAGTGTTGGGACAAACAATAATCCTTCGTAACTCGAAAAAAATTGGCCCGAGTAACTTGAATACTCAAAACGATGTCGTTTTGAGTTTTTTTTTTTGTTTGTTTGTTTCTTTCCCTCTTACATTGTTGAAATAGAGAGAGAGAGAGAGAAGCCGCCATCACCGGCGCCGCCATCACCGACGCCATCACCGGCGCCGCCATCGTTTTGGATACAGATTTGTGTATAATGATGATGACGATGACGATGATGATGATGATGTGTTGATTTTTGGGTTTAAATTTCTCTGATTTTTGGGTTTAATTTTTGAATTTTTAGATTTGATTTTTGATCTTAAAAAAAACAGAGGATGTGGTGTTGTTTGTTGTTGATGATGATATGTTGTGGTGTCGAGCTACAAAATGGATTTTTTTGGATTTTTGGAGCAGATTTTTTTGCCCCTACATTAGATTTGTTTTGAATGCATTCTAACCTTTGAAAGTTGAGAACCAGGCACCAGCTGGGGGCACCAAAGGATCATCATGGGTAGGGAGGGAAAAAATGGAAAAAAAAATCCAAAAAATATCATCATCATCAACAAAGGATAATCATCATCTGCAGAGTAGCTCGTTTTGGGTACAGATTTGTTCATCATCTGCACTAGTTAGGGGCACCCAAGGATCATCATCTGTAGAGAAAAAAAAAAAAACTGCCCAAAACGAGCCACTTGGGCCAACAGAAATTCGAGTTACAAAACGGAATTGTGGGACAAAATATCATTTTAGGACTTGTTGGTGCATTAAAAAATATACAAGATTTATAAATATTTAAATCCATCATATAAAAGTAACTTGTAATTTACCCCAATCAAAATTCATGTGTTCGAGCTTGGATCGGGCCTAAATATTAAACTTTAGGGCCAGGCTGAACTTGTGGCCCATATATACATTGATAAACATACATCAAAGGCATGGCTAAACTATAAATTTTACCATATAATTCAATTTAAGTTTCACTATAATCTTTATTATTTTAATTTGAACAATGTTATACCTTAGAATTTACATTCACTTTTAATTTAGTCTTTTCATTTAAAATTTTGTCAAATTTTTTTTTTTTTGGTGTGTATTTGTATTATTGAATTTGTTATAAAAAAAATCATGAGTTTTAAGGTCAAATTTAAACTAAAGAATCAAATTAAATTAAACTTAAAATTTAGAATTATATTTTTTAAATTATTATTGACATCGGTGGGTCCACAGAAGCTTTTGGTCCACCACTTAGAGCCCAATTCACGGTTCAAGCATTAAAGCCCAACACCATTGAATACCCAACGTTGCATCAGGAACTAATGACATCTAAATACTTATCAAGAGGAGAACCAGCCACGTAAGCAGATAAAGATCCTGCAGAGTTATTGTATCATATATTAGCCATTAATGAGGCTCCTGCAGCATTAAATGCGATAACCCCTTCACGTCGAAACGGGCAGTCTCACCATGAATAAGGCAAGTTAGAGCATAGACTTTCGGCCAACATGACAGGTCAGAGTGGTCAAGGAAATGATGAACAAAGGATATAAGGAGGCTTCCAAGACACACAAAAGGTTAAGTTCTCTATTCTTATTCTCTCTCTACACATTATCAATCCCTCTCTCTTCTAACTTGGTCGTCGAAGGGTCCGCTGGGAGACTCCCGTTCCCCGTTGGACACTTTTGCAGGTACTCCAGTGAGCTTAGTGACTGGGGAACGGTGTAAGAAGCGTGGGTTAGCCCGACTCGCCCTCTAGGGATCAGTAGCATCATCAGTTGGCGCCATCTGTGGGAACGCCACTCCGAGTAACAATTGTGCTCATTGTTGCCGGAGACCTGTTCCCAATAATTCCTCCTCACCGGCCATCAAGGTGGATGGTCACAGTGAGATCCATGGCTTCTTAACACAACGTTGTCGACCCCTAAGCCAACCCTCCCAACCCAAATAACCCACCTCAGTACTTCACAGAACTCACTAACAGCATCAACCGCTTGGCCGAGCAAAACCAGGCCTTGATCAACGCTTTGCTTCAACGAAACCTCCCTATACCTCCTCCACCACCACAAGATATCCCTTCTAATGGAGAATGAATCCCGAGCCATCCTTTCCAACAAGCCCACCTCTCCAACTTAGAGGGTATGCAAGCCCCACCTCAAGACGTGAACCCGCCACCACGGGGTTTACATCTATCAGTTCGAGCACCTACTCCTGAAGGAGAGACGAGTAGTGTTCAGCCCCCACTGCACTCTAGAGGTGACAATGTTCCTATTTGGGATGCGAAACTCCGAGCCATGAAACTCCAGCTTCAAGGAGTCATGTATAACATACAGAATAAACCCTCCACAACAGCCAACTCCCCGTTTGTCGCCTCCAACAGGGACAAACCCCCGCCCCCCAAGTTCAAAATGCCTTCGATCGACTCATTCGACGGTACAACAGATCCGGTTGACCATTTGGAAACCTGTAAGACCCTCATGATCCTCCATGCTTTTCCTGATGAGATCATGTGTCGGGCTTTCCCCGTAACGCTTAAGAAGTCAGTTCAACTATGGTTTAGTCAGTTGCCACCAGACTCTGTCTCTACTTTCTAAGACTTAATTGATTCTTTCCTGAGCCATTTCATTGGTGCCCAACGCCAGTTGCGCCCAACAACTCAACTGCTTAATATCCGTCAGATGGAAAGAGAGTCACTACATAGCTTTGCCACCCGTTTCAACATTGAAGCCCTACATGTAACAACCCTCATACTGTTTACCGACTTGTGACTGATTGATTACCGATAACCATCGATTACCGTTAAACTGAATTGATTATGACTGATAATTGAACTGATTAAAGTACTGAACTGACTGACTGAAATTGGAAACCGAATTGATTGAGTATATGTTAGTTAAATTGCATTCTATCTGTTTGACTGTATGATTATCTGTTCATGCTTATATATTTAAACTGCTAATTGAAGGCCATATCGGCGGCCGAATTAGAAACCGATTGATGTTCCATGATCCTCAGAATTAATGTGATTTTATGGTATAATTATCTGAAAATTGATTAGGTATGATTAAATTAGATTAATATTGATCAATTGCATAGTTTGATTTATTTACCATTTTGCCACATGAGTGGTCCACTCAATACAATACGCTTGAGCCTCAATATACACCTAGATCAAACATTGCATCAGCTCATTCCTTGTGCTTAACCGACCAAGAGAGGGAGAGGGAGAGAAATTGAGTTCTACCTTGTAAATTGCTTGGAAATTGAAGTGTATTTGCATATTTGAGCTCCCTCACTCCTAATTCTACAAGACTAAGGTAGGACATCCATCTTCTTGTTGTTGTCTTAGAATTAATTCTTGCAAGACTCATGTTTCAATTGTAGAGTTAAGTCTTGTTTTAGTTCATACATGAAGGATAGAACATAATTCATGCATGCATGTTTGAATTGATGAGTTCAAATTTAAACTAAAGAATCAAATTAAATTAAACTTAAAATTTAGAATTATATTTTTTAAATTATTATTGACATCGGTGGGTCCACAGAAGCTTTTGGTCCACCACTTAGAGCCCAATTCACGGTTCAAGCATTAAAGCCCAACACCATTGAATACCCAACGTTGCATCAGGAACTAATGACATCTAAATACTTATCAAGAGGAGAACCAGCCACGTAAGCAGATAAAGATCCTGCAGAGTTATTGTATCATATATTAGCCATTAATGAGGCTCCTGCAGCATTAAATGCGATAACCCCTTCACGTCGAAACGGGCAGTCTCACCATGAATAAGGCAAGTTAGAGTATAGACTTTTGGCCAACATGACAGGTCAGAGTGGTCAAGGAAATGATGAACAAAGGATATAAGGAGGCTTCCAAGACACACAAAAGGTTAAGTTCTCTATTCTTATTCTCTCTCTACATATTATCAATCCCTCTCTCTTCTAACTTGGTCGTCGAAGGGTCCGCTGGGAGACTCCCGTTCCCCGTTGGACACTTTTGCAGGTACTCCAGTGAGCTTAGTGACTGGGGAACGGTGTAAGAAGCGTGGGTTAGCCCGACTCGCCCTCTAGGGATCAGTAGCATCATCAGTTGGCGCCATCTGTGGGAACGCCACTCCGAGTAACAATTGTGCTCATTGTTGCCGGAGACCTGTTCCCAATAATTCCTCCTCACCGGCCATCAAGGTGGATGGTCACAGTGAGATCCATGGCTTCTTAACACAACGTTGTCGACCCCTAAGCCAACCCTCCCAACCCAAATAACCCACCTCAGTACTTCACAGAACTCACTAACAGCATCAACCGCTTGGCCGAGCAAAACCAGGCCTTGATCAACGCTTTGCTTCAACGAAACCTCCCTATACCTCCTCCACCACCACAAGATATCCCTTCTAATGGAGAATGAACTCTGAGCCATCCTTTCCAACAAGCCCACCTCTCCAACTTAAAGGGTATGCAAGCCCCACCTCAAGATGTGAACCCGTCACCACGGGGTTTACATCTATCAGTTCGAGCACCTACTCCTGAAAGAGAGACTAGTAGTGTTCAGCCCCCACTGCACTCTAGAGGTGACAATGTTCCTATTTGGGACGCGAAACTCCGAGCCATGAAACTCCAGCTTCAAGGAGTCATGTATAACATACAGAATAAACCCTCCACAACAGCCAACTCCCCGTTTGTCGCCTCCAACAGGGACAAACCCCTGCCCCCCAAGTTCAAAATGCCTTCGATCGACTCATTCGACGGTACAACAGATCCGGTTGACCATTTGGAAACCTATAAGACCCTCATGATCCTCCATGCTTTTCCTGACGAGATCATGTGTCGGGCTTTCCCCGTAACGCTTAAGAAGTCAGTTCAACTATGGTTTAGTCAGTTGCCACCAGACTCTGTCTCTACTTTCTAACACTTAATTGATTCTTTCCTGAGCCATTTCATTGGTGCCCAACGCCAGTTGCGCCCAACAACTCAACTGCTTAATATCCGCCAGATGGAAAGAGAGTCACTACATAGCTTTGTCACCCGTTTCAACATTGAGGCCCTACAGGTGGTGGAGAACGACGACAAGGTCATCCTCACAGTCTTCATGGCCGGTTTACGACCATCCGATTTCCTTTTCTCTTTTTCTAAAAACCCTCCAACCACCATGGACACCTTCCTTTTCAAAGCCCAAAAATATATGAACGCCGAAGACTCTTTGGCAGCCCATCAAGATACTACGATTAAGAACCCAACCCATAAGGAGAAAAGAAAGGAATCCGAAATCAGAACCTCCCAATATACACAGCAAACCCCTCAGTATATCGACTGACTCGCTCGAGCCAATCAACCAGCACATACCTGACCCCCCGGTCGGTTCGAGCGATACACCCCCCTCAATCCCCCCATGGAACAAGTCTTGACTCAGATCCAACGAGATTACAACCTGAAATGGCCTCCCGAAATCAGACCCTTCCAATATACACAGCAAACCCCTCAGTATATCGACTGACTCGCTCGAGCCAATCAACCAGCACATACCTGACCCCCCGGTCGGTTCGAGCGATACACCCCCCTCAATCCCCCCATGGAACAAGTCTTGACCTAGATCCAACGAGATTACAACCTGAAATGGCCTCAACCATCACGGTCTCCATCCAACCAGCAAGATCAATCCAAGTACTGTCGTTTCCATCAGGACCACGACCACAACACTGAGGAATATGTTAACCTTAAAGACCAGGTAGAGGATTTGATATGCCAGGGGTGCCTCGGTCGGTTCACGACAGCTCGACCCTAGCAGCGACCAAGGACCGACCCTCCGGGGGGCCACTGCCGACATACCGTCCCCCCCTTAACCCGCACAACCTAAGTGAGACAATGATTGGCCCCCTCCATAACCCCGAGCATAAGGCAATCTTGTCCCCCTGGTCGGAGAGATCCGAGTCATCACTGGTGGGCTCGCATGTGGAGGTCTATCCCGTTCGGCCCAATGAGCCGAACTCAGAAAAATCAGACAAGGCTCAGACAAAGAAGTCATGACATTGGATCGCCCCTTCAAATACCCGAAACAGTGGACTGAACCCATCACCTTTACAGAGGCCGACTGCACAGGCATTCGTTACCCTCACGACGACCCCCTCATCATCTCTGCTCTTTTATCCAATTACAAAGTCAGATGGGTGCTTGTCGACAATGGTAGCTCTTCAGACATCATCTTTCTAAACGCCTATCACCGGCTTAAGGTCGAAGAAAAAAAATTGTCCCATCTTCAAACCCCGCTAGTCGGTTTTACTGGCGATCGGGTGACCTCTATAGGCTCTATCGATCTCCCCATCACCATCGGAGAATATCCATGGCAGACCACCAAGCTACTCACCTTCCTCGTCGTCGACTGTTCCTCTGCTTATAACATAATCCTCAGACGCACGGCTCTCAACGCTTTCCAAGTTGTTACCTCCACATACCATTTGGCTATGAAATTCTCGACCGACTTCGGGGTCGGCACTGTGAGGGGCGAGCAGACGATGGCCAGAGAATGCTACGTCACCTCACTAAAGGAAGTCAAGATGAAGGAGAGTATGATCATCGAAGGTCTCGACGTCAAAGACGAGGAAGAATTAGTCAGAGGGGAACTAGTGGAGAAACTTGTCGAAGTGCCCACCGATCATACCAACTCAGCTAAAACAGCCAGGATTGGCAATCAACTATCCTCTCGGGCCAAGGCCGATCTCACAGCTCTCTTAGCCGAGTACAACGATGTCTTTGCCTGGACCCACTCAGACATGCCAGGTATCGATCCCTCTTTCATCATTCATCACCTCAGTATTAAGCCCCACTTTCGATCTTTTCGTCAGAGGCAGCGCATTTTTCACCCAGAACACAATACCCTCATTACCTCTGAGGTGGACAAACTACTGAAGGCGCAGTTCATCAAGAATGTGGACTACCCCAGGTGGCTGTCCAATGTAATCTTGGTCCGCAAACACAATGGTAAATGGCGACTTTGCGTCGACTACTCCGACCTTAATCGGGTTTGCCCCAAAGATAGTTATCCTCTCCCCCAGATAGATCTGCTGGTCGACACAACTGCTGGACATCAAATGCTTAGCTTCATGGATGCTTTCTCCGGCTACAATCAAATCTTGATGCACCTGGCCGACTAGGAATACATCTCCTTCATCACGGACAGAGGAACTTATCACTATCGTGTTATGCCATTCGGCTTGAAGAATGCCGGAGCAACTTACCAATGCCTGGTTAATGCCGTCTTTCAACATTAGATAGGTCAGAACATGGAAGTCTACGTCGATGACATGCTAGTCAAGAGTAAGCTCTCCTCCGATCACTTGGCAGACCTGCGAGAGACTTTTGAAACCTTACGCAAATATCAGATGAAATTGAATCTGGAGAAGTACGCCTTCGGCATAGGATCTGGGAAGTTCTTGGGTTTCATGGTTAGCCAACGAGGCATTGAGGCTAACCCCGAAAAGATCAAGGCCCTGATAGAAATGCTGTCTCCCAGAACAGCCAAGGAGGTTCAACGGCTCACGGGCAAAGCTGACGCCCTCAACCGCTTCATTTCCCGGGCAACCAACAAATGTCTTTCATTTTTCCTCCGACAGGCTTTCGAATGGAGCACCGAATCCAAGGAGGCTTTTCAACAACTGAAGTAGTGTCTGGTCAACCCTCCCCTCCTCTCTCAATCGCTGCCAGGCGAAACCCTCTGTAGACACCCCATTTTATCAAATCTTGATGCACCTGGCCGACTAGGAATACATCTCCTTCATCACGGACAGAGGAACTTATCACTATCGTGTTATGCCATTCGGCTTGAAGAATGCCGGAGCAACTTACCAATGCCTGGTTAATGCCGTCTTTCAACATTAGATAGGTCAGAACATGGAAGTCTACGTCGATGACATGCTAGTCAAGAGTAAGCTCTCCTCCGATCACTTGGCAGACCTGCGAGAGACTTTTGAAACCTTACGCAAATATCAGATGAAACTGAATTTGGAGAAGTACGCCTTCGGCATAGGATCTGGGAAGTTCTTGGGTTTCATGGTTAGCCAACGAGGCATTGAGGCTAACCCCAAAAAGATCAAGGCCGTGATAGAAATGCTGTCTCCCAGAACAGCCAAGGAGGTTCAACGGCTCACGGGCAAAGCTGATGCCCTCAACCGCTTCATTTCCCGGGCAACCAACTAATGTCTTTCATTTTTCAAAGTCCTCCGACAGGCTTTCGAATGGAGCACCGAATCCAAGGAGGCTTTTCAACAACTGAAGTAGTGTCTGGTCAACCCTCCACTCCTCTCTCAATCGCTGCCAGGCGAAACCCTCTTCCTCTACCTAGCTGTGTCAAACACTGCGGTCAGTGCGACCCTCATCAGGGAAGACGACTCAGTATAACGTCCAGTTTACTACATTAGCCACGCTCTCAGGTGGGTGGAATAGGACTACCCTCTGCTGGAAAAAATGGCCCTCACCTTGGTTATTGCCTCCAGACGCCTTCGACCTTATTTCCAAGCTCACTCCATAGTGGTTCTCACTGACCAATCTCTAAGAAAAGTCATGCAACAACCAAAGTCGCCAGGTAGACTTATGTAATGGTCTGTTGAGTTAAGTCAATTTGAAATCTCTTACTGACCTCGCACAGCGATGAAAAGTCAGGTTGTCGCCGATTTTATTTTGGAATTCACCAATCTCCCTCCAAACGTGCCCCCTTCACCACTGATGTAGAAGACCCTCACTTCTGAACCCTTAGTGTTGATGGTTTATCTCGCAAAGAGGGTAGTGGGACCGGTCTAATCCTCACCATCTCAGAAGATGAGTACTTCAAGTGTGCCCTCTGCTTCCTGTTCGACGCAAACAATAATGAGACCGAATATGAGGCCTTGATAGCAAGTCTTCGACTAGCCAAAGACATCGGTGTAAACCATATTCGAGTATTCAGTGATTCCCAATTGATTGTCGGACAGATTACTGGGAAGTTTGACGCAAAGGAAGAGACGATGCAAGCATACAAGGACATTGCCCTTCCTCTTGTCCGCCTTTTCAATATTTTCCAGATCAAACACATCCCTAGGTCGGAAAACTCCAAGGCGGACGAAATGGCTTAATTAGCCTCGATCAACCAGTCAGACTTCAGCCATGGCATTCGCATTGAATACCTGACCCATCTGGCTACTTCGCCAAACCCACAGGAGGTTCACTTCCTCCAGAACGAACCTATCCCATGGGCTCAAGACATCCTTCTATTTTTGACACGAGGGGAGTTGCCAGACGATAAATAGCAGGTCGCCAAAGTTAGAGCCCGGTCATCCAATTACATCCTCATTAGTGGCCTACTATACAAATAAGGATTCTCATGCCTATACCTCAGGTGTCTCAGTCCTGTTCAAGTGATCTATGTGATGAGAGAAGTCCACGAGGGCATTTGTGGTAATCATTTGGGTGCAAGGTCTCTAGCCCATAAAATCCTTCGCACCGACTACTTCTGGTCTACTCTCAACCAAGATGCCACAAAATTTGTGCTTAAGTGTAATTAATGCCAGCGCCTTGCCAACATCCCTCATGCTCCACCAACAGAACTAATTACACTCAGCAGTCCGTACCTCTTCGCTAAGTAGGGCATCAACTTAGTTAGTCCTTTACCCACTGGTAGGGGCCAAACCAAGTTCGCTGTAGTTGCTATTGACTACTTCACCAAATGGGTGGAAGCATAACCCCTTGCTACAATCACTGAGCGAAACACCACCAGGTTCATCTGGCAATCGATCGTATGCCGATTCGGAATCCCCCAGGCCATTGTTTCAGACAATGACAAACAATTCGACAATGCCAAATTCAGGAAATTCTGTGAAGAGCTCAACATTAGACCGTGTTTCTCTTCTTCGGGCCATCTCCAAGCTAATGGGCAAGTCGAAGTAACCAATCGCTCCCTCTTGAAGATCATCAAGACTAAGTTGGAAGCCGCTAAAGGACTCTGGGCTGAGGAATTACCGAACGTACTCTGGGCTTATCAGACAACCACCCAAACCCCTACTAGAGAGACCCATTTTCGCCTAACATACGATGCTGAAGCAGTCATCCTAGTAGAAATCAGCCTGCCGACCCCTTGGGTTTTGCACTAGAATCCAGAACTAAACAAAGAGTTGTGTCGGGCTGACTTGGACCTGATTGAAGAGCTCCGAGAGACAACTACTGTTAGACGGGCGTCATATCAGCAGAAAATGAGAACACATTATAACCGCAAAGTTTGACCTCAAGAGTTTGCAGTGAGGGACCTAGTCTTGCGCAAAGCAACCTTTGCCACTAAAAATCCTACCGAGGGCAAGCTAGTAGCCAAGTGGGAAGAACCTTATATTGTCAAGAGCAGACCTCGCCCGAGGACTTACTGGCTCCAAGATATGGAAGGCAGGGACCTCCTCCATAGAATGCCGAGCACTTGAAGCGTTATTTCTAGTAATGGCGTCTCTTGTTTTTCTATCATTCAATTGTTGTTTGTTCTCTTTTGCCGATCTGCGCACTTGTTCATTTTTGCCCTTTCCATACACGATGTAAATTTGTGATTGACAGATTATACCTTAATGACAACAATTTCACATCTCCATTTATTTGTGTTGTGTTTCAATTACAAGATTTAGATAAAGTCTTAGTCAGACTGAACATGAAGAGCTCATCCAGACTGAGTTAACCAAAGCCTCAGCCCGACTGTGCCCTCACAGCCTTAGCCAAACTGAGCATGAAGAGCTCAGCCAGACTGAGTTAACCCAAGCCTCAGCCCGACTGAGCCTCCAAGCCTCAGCCTGACTGAGCATGAAGAGCTCAGCCAGACTGAGTTAACCAAAGCCTCAGCCCGACTGAGCCCTCCAAGCCTCAGCCAGACTGAGATTGAAGAGCTCGGCCAGATTGAGTCAACACTAGTCTCATCCAAACTGAGCATGAAGGGCTCAGCCAGACTGAGTTAACCCAAGCCTCAGCCCGACTGAGCCCTCCTAACCTCGGCTAGATTGAGCATGAAGAGCTCGGCCAGACTGAGTCAACACTAGTCTCATCCAGACAAAGCATGCAGTTACAGTTAGTCATATTTAGTCTTAGCCAGACTGGTTTCAATCTTAGTTCATGCTTGCCCAGTTTTTACCATTTATGCAAGTTAGGTTACTTGTCCAGTTTCACATTCACAAATTTTACTTGCCCATTTTTACCATTTGAACTCTACCATTTCACATTCACAAACTTTACTTGTCCATTTTAGTCATCCATTTTTACCACTTGAACTTTACCATTCAAAAAAGAAAAAAAAAAAAAAAAAAAAAAAAAAAAAACAACAACAACAATAACAATAACAATAACAGAACTCGTCATTTTATTAACAAACTTGCACTTTTATACAATTCATTACAGAAATTACATTTACTTCAAAAAAAAAAAATTTACACTTCTTTACAGAAATTATATTTAAGCAGGAAGAACACCCAGCCCTTAATCCCCCTCGCTTAACACGAGATCTTCCTCTTCTACCCTTTCGTCCAAGGGAGTTTGGGCAACGTCGTCTTCTCCTACTTTCACTAGATTGAAGTCCACATCTGGGAACAACTCTTGCGCCTTATACTTGAAGCTCATCCAACTGTTGTCCTAGTACTAGCTCATCTCGTGCTTGTAGAAGTTTGACTGCTGAAAGCTTTGGATCACTTCTTCTTAGCTCCTATTTCCAGCGGCCACTCTCGACGGCCCAGCACCCCCTTCCCCCTCCTTAGCTAAGCTCCTAGCGACCGCCGCATCAATGGTCATCTGGAATTCGACGGACCCCTTAAATTGCTCCACGGCCGCCACACATAAATCGGGGTATGCTGCCATCTTAGAGGCCATTTTCGCCCTTTCTTCCGCCAATGACTTCTCTAACTCTGCAATCTGCCCTTCTTCTTATTCATTACCTTTAATTGCTTGGTCACGCAGATCTTCATTGTTGGCAAGGGCCTCTTCCAACCTTTTCTTGGCGGTGGTACAGGCTTCTTGGACTTCACTATCACGACCCAAACTCGCCCCTAAGGGTTTAGCATCGTAACCGGCCAGTAATCCGTGATTACCAAAGGCCTGCTTAACAGTAATGCCAATAATACAGTATAAAGGGGCTGACAGAAGCCAATTAGTAATAAAAAGATGTCCAATGAATTGTGAAAACCTGAATGGGAAAAGATTTCCATGGACAAAACCACATTCATAACCATATATATATATATATATACATCTCAGATACACATAGCATACAGGTTTGGGACCTATTCCCTTCAACATTAATGTACAGTCAAGTCTTAAACATTCATTACATTAACAGAAACAAAAATGGTGAATCAGGAACACCCCAAGAACAGCCTTGGCTCGAGTAGACTCGGAACCTTGAAGTGAAACACAATGGTTGGCTTGACAAAACATGAGCTTAATTCCACGCTTCTAGCTTTGGTCCGGTGCCTGGCCACCTACATACATATATATAAATAGTGAGCTAAAGCCTAGTGAATAACAAATGTGTAAAGAGGTTAAGAATGAATGTCTTTTCAGTTATTGAAACAGTCGTTTGCATTAGTAAAGCAGTTATTCAATTAGTGACTCATATTTCAAGTCATATCAGTCATTAAGGAATCATAGCAGTCATACGTGGTACATTCAATAGCAGAACAGTACAATAGGTCTTAATAGACCGAACAGTCAGTTGATGGCCATCAAAACAGTAAACAGTACAGTAACAGTAGCAGTAGCAGTAGCAGTAGCAGTAGCAGTAGCAGTAGCAGTAATAGTCAATTGCTATGGATGCTACAAGTACAGTTCGTAAAATAAGACAAACATTCATTCAGTAAACAATATCATTTCAGCAGGCAATACAGTTAATCATTCAGAAAATAATTGTAATTGAACATAGCTTTACAACATTGTTACTCACAGATTTCTGGGCTATAGACAGGCTAATCAGCGTCCTTGGGTGCCAAACCTACATAGTTACAGAACGAACGCACACTAAATTACACACTCGGGATTAATAACTTGGCCCCTATCTTGATTTGGTGTGGTTCTATAACATTATTCTCATTATGATGCCTTAAACATGGCCTAGGAATGCCTACGATGGAATGGGGATGCAAAAATATACTTAAAAACATTGTTCAAAACTTGCTGAAAGCAGGGGTCTCGCTCGAGCGAGCGTGCTTTCCGAATGAGAAAGGTCACTCGAGTATAGACTCCCTCGCTCGAGCGATCTGCAAAAATATGGAAAGTACTTGCTGAAATTCTTCGCTCGATGCTCGCTCGATTCTTGCTCGAGCGTGAGACACAGTTCTTTGCTCGAGCGTAGGTCTCGTCGCTCGAGCGTGCATTTGCACACGCAAAAACCTGAGAGCTTGCAATTTACGCTCAAGCCAGCATTCTGTCGCTTGAGCAAAAGTCTGAAAACAAAGGTGGTCGTTCGAGCGTGGAATCCCTCGCTCGAGCGAGGAAGCTACATTCTGGGTTTTCCAGATTTGCTCCCAAAGCTCAAACCATGGATTTAATATGCCAAAACTCATCCTTTTGGGCCAATTCTCTGGAAAATGCTTGGAAACTCATAACACAACATGTTTTGAAGATCATTTCATAAAATCAAAGCCCAAAAGCGTGCCAATTAAACACGATTTCAACTTAAAAAGGAAGAACATGGTGTAATTATGCCATGCATGTGTTTATTTAAATTCATAATTTCTAACCCATGATCATATGAGCCATTCTTCCCAAAAGCATGATGAATTCCTAGATTACAACTATAATATGAACATGCATATGAGAATTTTCATGAAAACATCTTCAAAACTCCATGATATGGGCATGCATGCATGAATTTATACTTCTTAAGCTCATATCTCATAATTCAATTCACTTGATTTCAAAAATGATTCAACTTAAATTCAAGACTAAGGACTTGACTTCTTACCTTAGATGTTTAATTGGGCTTTAGGTGCTAAATTCTTGAGCTAGGTGAACAAGTCTTCAAAGTTTCTTCAATTTCCTCTAAATTTCAAGCAAATCTCTTGTTGAATTCAATGTTTTCTCCTACTCTCCTCTCTCTCTCGTTCTGTGCAAGAAGATGAAG